TTTGTCTTTGCATACAAATGGATTGTCCTTTTGTTTAGACGTTTCATAGATGACAAGTACATCTTTAGAATCTGGGATGTTTGTTTTTCTTTATCTATAAATTTTATTACATATATAATTCAATTTTAATATATTTATCATGAAATAGTTGAACGAGATAACAATAAGGCGGTGTTTGCGTTTCCAAGCTCGAAGTTTTATTATTTCATAGTTGTTGCGATCATTAAGGAATACGCGGATGATATAATAGACAATCAAATGGACTTTGATGATTTGTTTATGCTGTTTCAGAGTCTTGGCAATCAAATTGGGGATGAAATAGTGTTTGATGCGGACTTGTTGATGCAAGAATTCATGCACATCTCGCAACCAAATGAATTGTCTGAATTCTTAAAAGATGATCCGATACCTAAATAATTTTTCTTCTCTTTTGAGACAAAAAAGTGTTTGAAAACAAAAGATAAAAGACGACTTACTTTGATACTCTCATTTTTTTGCAACGCATACACCTGCTTGGCGCTTCTTCTTTGTCGATCAAGTTGTTGATTTCTTTTGTCAACATGGCTATCTCATCTTCAGCTCTGTCAACTTTTGTGAAGAGATAATTACATCCCGTTATACCGCAATGATGGCGGTGCACCAAACGTGGAATCACACGCCTATGATGGTTCCTCACGTGTCGAAGCATGTGTCTAATCTTCGCTATATCAGCCATCCGTTGTTCGATTGTCAAATGTTGTCCATCATCGTCGCTACTCCCACGCACTCCCATCAAAAACACCACGAAAAATAACATCAAAACTTGCATCCCTTATAAATTATACTTTTGAGTTCGTTCGTTTGATTTTTGTTTTTTTGATTTTTTGTTTTTGTTCTTATTTAATGTTTAATTGTTTATTCTATTTTTTAGTTTTCTATATTACTATACTTTTATAGTTATTTCAATCGTTTTTTATGTATTATCTTTTGTAAAATAAAAAAAATTCAATTAAAAAAATTGGTTTCATTATTAGTAAATAATACAATTGTAATATTTATAAATTATTCTGGTTCAAATTTTTAAGTTAAAAAAGTTGGTAATTAATTAAATAGTTTATAATTTAAAAACATCATATTATTTTTATGAATCTCTCTTTCAACAAGTATCTTTTTACACCTTATCAAAAAAAATAGTTTTTATTAAAACAAATTATCGTTATAGTATTATACTAAATTAATTAAATTACTATACAAATTTTTTGATACGAACTTTAATTGATACAATTATGTTTAAAAAGTGGATCCTCTTTGTGTCGGTTGTGTGTGTAATCCAGGTCATCGCTGATAAAAATTCTGAAAATTTAACCGATAAAACAAAATGCGATAAGTTCCAAATAAAAGGTAATGATGTGCCTGAAATTTCAATGAGCTCTTCTGAAAACATGAGTGTCACTTCGTCGGAGAAGGACGTTACATCAAATGATACACCAACATATTCTTCTGATTCTCTTACCGATGAAAGTGTATCAAGTTCCAACTCTACATCATTTTCTAATGGGAGTGAATCAGTTTCAAATCACACAAGTGAAGACTCTTTTTCAAATGAAAGCGAAAGTTCGTTGTCGAGTAATTCATCAGATTATAGCAATGGTACAATTCCTTCTGAAAGTAGTGAATCTAATTCCACAAACACATCTTCGGAAAATACTTTTTCGTCGTCAAGCAATGACGACCCTTTTGATTTAGACCTTCCCGACGATGTTTTATGGAACGACTTTCTTACTATTTACAATAAGACGTATTCCTCACCAGAAGAAGAAATACTTCGCAATAAACAATTTGCAGTTTGTCTTCTCATTTTTTATGTTTGTGATAAACTAAACTGAAGCGCTCTTTAAGTCTTTACCGTACTTACAATTTATTAAGAAAAACAGAAAACGCTGCTGTTTTTGGAGTTACACAGTACAGTGATATGTTACCAAACGAGCTCTTTTGCACAAACCCGAAAATGCAAGTCCCATCGACGAACCCAACGCCACTCCCTATTCTTCCAAAATTGAAATCGTTTCCTCTCAACTTTTCACGGTGTGGAAAATACACCCTGAATAACGAAGGAAACACCAACAAAGATAATTACTGTACAGATAATACATATGTGGGATGTGATGGGTGCTACGTCTTTTCGGCAATAGAGATGGCGTCGATTCTATTTTACAATAAAACATCTCTGAGAATTGAAGCAGATCCTTTCCCATTGTTCGACTGTGTTTGGAGTTCAAATGGTTGTTGTGGTGGCGACCCCAAAGAATTGTTACTCAACGGGAACCAATACTTTTACACCGGAAATGGGGAGTTTACGGATACCAACGGAGTGTATTCTCGATGTAACCGAAGCACATGTGTCACAGAGGGAAAAACCCCATTCGGCATTGTCAAGAACATCATCACCTTTGCGTCTACCGATTCATCAAAAGACTTGAAAACGATATTGTTGGTCTATGGTCCCTTTATTAGTACCATTAGAGTTGATGACGGCATTCAGGGCTATAAAGGCGGTGTTTTGTATATGAATTGTAGCGACGAGACATTACAATTGGCTAATGTAATTGTTGTTGGGTATGGGACTGAACCATCTGGAGAGGAGTATTTTATTATTCGAAATTATTGGGGAGACTGGGGGGAGGAAGGGTATATGAGGGTGTCAATGACAAATTTGTGTGGGGTTGGGCAACAAGCGACTGGAAAGGAAGCCACAAATTACATCATTCAAGCCTATTTCTGTGTTGCCGATCCCTATTGTTTGAAATGTGATACAACGACTGGGAAATGCATCGAGTGTGGACACTTTTCACTGTTGGACAAGAACGGGATGTGCTCAACAGAATGTCCAGAAGATTGCCTGACTTGTGATAAAGAGTTAACGAAGTGTTACACTTGTAAAAATGGAGCTATATTAGAAGATGACAAGTGTGTGTTCCAATGTCCAGACAACTGTAAGACGTGTGATAGAACAACAATGTACTGCACATCATGTAATGCGTTGTATGAACTTCATGATCATGGGTGCAGATTTGCGTGTACCGAGTCGTGTAAAACGTGTAACTCAGAGCTGCAAATCTGCCAAGAGTGTAAAGACAATTCTGTGCTGCAAGGCTCCATTTGTATGGTCACGTGTCCCGAAGGGTGTAAAACGTGCGATAGAATCACACAAGTATGCTACTCGTGCCAGCGATTCTACAAACTCTCACAAACAAAGTGCGTTCCAACGTGTCGGGACAAGTGCACTGAATGCAACGCGCTTGACACTGAGTGTGTGGCGTGTGAATTTGCTTATGTGCTCTACAACGGTTCTTGCTACTCGAATTCATGCAAAGGGAATTGCCAGCTGTGCGATCTCACGACTTATGAATGTGAGGTGTGCAAAGAGAATTACTTTCCGTACAAAGGGAAGTGCTATTTGAAGTCGGACACAGCAGTCCTTTCGCTGTACATCATCATTGGTATCTCCACTATATTGATGAACTTTTTTTAATGTAAACAACTTGTATACTTTTATTTATCTTTCCCAAAAATATCGAGTGTTATTTGATACGATCAACACAATCTCCAATCTTTTGTATTAAAGATTTCGGAACTCTTAAGAAAAAAACAGTAAATTACAGTTTAGTCGAAGTTCCTAAGGTCGTTGGTATCCCAGAAGCACATGGCTTTACTGCTCCTGGACGTGATGTGCTTAACGCAGTTCATGTGGTCGAGCCTATGGGCATTGATGACATGGGCAAAGTCTGCGCATGGTTTAAATCCCATCGATTCTGCGTTCTCGAGACAGAACCTCATCTTCGGGACAAAGTCAAGGGCAACATCTTTGACATCACTCTTTCTCAGAAACAGACACTTTTGTTGAAGGGATTCCCAGAGCTGCGTAAAGTGACATAAATCACGTGCAAAGAAGAAGGCGGATGCCGCCATTGAAGATGGTGTGTTTGTTAAGAAAATTGGATCCAAAGACATCACTTCCAAGAAGAGCACGCTTGCCTCGACGACTGGATGGTTCTGTTTTCCATAAACAAAAGTCGGGTACCCGACAGCTTCCCACAATAAGCAAAGGAAGTCGAAAGGAGTAGGGTTATCCATTTTGTAGGACACAGATGTGAGAATTTTCATCTCCATTTGAATCACTTCTTTGTTATTGTACTTGTAATTACAGAGTTTCAAAACGTCGTTCAGCTTGATGGCAATGGCGTCGTACTTTGCTGCGCTGAAAAGGGAAGTCAAGAAAACAAGCCCCAGTTCGTCGCCATCGACAGGAGTTCGTGTAGTGTAGGAGTCTGCCAAGGTAAGTGCTTGGAAGACAAGTTTCTTGTGAAACTTCAAAAAGTCACACGTTTTGAACAGCCAATCAACAAGTTGTGGGCGCATGAAAGGCGTTGCGATGTCAAGGTTTGGCTGCGGCATCTGTGTCTGCCTGATTTGAAGGTACCGACAGAAGTCTTGGAGTTCGGTGGTGATCTTGTGCTTCTTCTCTGCCTCAACTACAACACAATGAATTGACAACTCGACGGGTGTGAACGCGCTTTTGGGCTCGCGAACAACTGATACCCTGTCTTGGGCACACATCGGTTTACTTTTTTTTCAAGGTCTTGATCCATTAAACAAGTATTCGTGGCACATACAAACTAATCGCAAACCATTCGAAACTAGATGTACCAACTCTTTGACGCGTCACACATGACAAAAGCTATTTATAACGCTATAAAAAACTATTACTTACTATACCTTGGATTGTTTTTTTCATTCTCTTTTTGGTAGACTTTTTGGTTCATTCTTTTTGCGAAAATGTTCTTTCTTAATTCGAACACAAGAGAAGATTCGAGTGTTCTCCAGTTTCTTTTTTCTTTTTTTTCGGTTGAAAAATGGGATGTTAGCAATAAAAATTCGTATTGATACGGGATATAATCGGACTTTTTGGCGTTTTTTTTCTGAGGCCTGTCTTGCTATAAACTGACTTTTATCACTTAATGGTTTCTGACGTGGTCTTTTTGTCATCTTTTTTAGGAAAAAAGAAAAAAGTGGGTGTAGTGGTATTTTGCGGTGGCTTTCTTTTTTTTTGCTTTTTAATGTACTTTTCCCAGTTTGTTACTGTTGTGAGTTTTATTTTATGATCAAATCAGAGCATTGCTGATGTGGAACATTTTTCGATCAGCAAAGTTGTGATCAGGTTTGATTTTTTGAATGATTATTCTGGTAAAAAAAAGTGATTTTGTGTAAAGTCGATTTGGGATCTAAAAATAATTAACTAAATATAATAATGATTTTTTTTCAAGTTGCTGATTATTATTTTCTTAATTGTTTCTTGGTTATAGATGTGTTCCATTCTTCCCTTTGTTTGTTTTAGAAATATAAATTATTTTGTTTCTATTTGTTACCAAATAAACAAAATTGCCAATTACATGGAAAAATCAGATGATTATGCATTTCTATAAAAGGTTTGACTTATTTAAAAAACTGTTTTTTATTATTGTTATTATAAATGTTATTAAAGTGTTTTTCTTTCTTAGTTTTTTGTTTTTTATATAAAAAAATCAAAAATTATTGGGCTTTTAACTTTAGGAAGGAGGAACTGGAAAAAATAATAAAATTTATATTAAAGTGACTTCCCCAAGGCGTGCAAGTTAAAATTTTTTGTCTTTTTTACAGGGAAAGGGCGTGCAAGACTAAATTTCAGTTGAAAAACATTTTATTTTAAAATGTTATTCGTTTCAAAATTGTTTCACAAAACAGACAACCCTTTGTTGCTTGAATTAATAAACTACAAAAAGCAAATTAAATATAAAAATTGGGTAATGGTTTGTCTATGTGTTTAATGTAAAAACTTTTTTGTTTATAAACGTGAATAATTGTCGATGTCTCTTGTCTCAGCGTAATTCAAAGTGACAAGAAGAAGTATGACAAACATTAAGTTTTTCTCTGTGCCATTTTATAGCAAACAATAACAAATAGTCTGTTTAAAAGGTGCAGTTCATTGTTACAAATCGATGTGTACTGTTGTCCAGAACTGGTCCTTCGATAATTTCCATTTGGTCGCTTCCCCGAAATTGTTGCTAAATTTATTGTATTTGAAGTGTGAAAGTTAAAGTATAGTTTAGTATTAACTTCAAAATTATAATTAATAATTAAACCAAAAATATCTTTTTTTTCAAAATTTCAAAAAATGAATAATTTTATTTTTTGATAAAATATTATGAATGAACTATACCTTAACTTGCACACATTGGGAAGTCACTTTCATTAAAATTATCAAGAAAATAAGTTTATAAAAAAACATGAATATAGCTTTAATAATACAATCTGTAATTATTATATTAATATAAAATTGAATATTTAAGTAATGTTCAAATTATAATATAAAAATTATTAATCATATAAAATTGATTTTGAGTAATTTAGTACTTCAAAGTAAAATAATAACATATTGATTAAAAAAGAAAGGTATCTAGTCAAGTTGTTACTAAGTATGATATATGTATATTTAATAACAACTGTTATTCCTTGTCGGAACGAATGTCTTTGGAACTAAAGACAATACTTGGGATTTCAAAACAGTGACCACTAAAAAGTGTCTGTTTTCCACAACAAGGACAAGGAGATTTCTTTTTAAGAGTAAGGCTTAACCTTTTTTGGGGTTGAGTTTTCTGCTCATAGGTAGAGAGGGTGTTCAACAATAGGTAGGACATTTCACTTTTGGAGATCATTAAAGTGGTTTAAATAGAAAAGTTTACAAAGTGTTTCAAAGTTGCTTCTGTTCAACAGAATTATGTGAATTCTAAAATGTCAACAATTGATTATTTACTGGACTTTCTGTTGTAGATTCTGTTTTTTTAATAAAAAAAGTGTAGTGAAGGAGTGGATTTTGGTTTTCATAAACCAATTTTCCCTTTTTTTATATTAATTTTCAATTGCTTAGAAACAAAAAACTTTAATACTATATTTGGTATAATTGTAATCATTTTTAAATCAAAGAGAACTATATGGATCATTTCCAATAAAATTTCATTTATTTTTAAAAACATTTTTAAAAATATCAACCCCATTTGAAGTTAATATCAATTGGATAATTAAAATGATCAACCAATAATAAGACTGTTCAGTAGATATTCAAATCAAAGGGATTTGCAATTTTGCATTGAAACAAAATGTTTCATGAGATTTTAAAACAATTCACAATTAATTTCCATTAACTTTCCCCTTTTCACATTAAAAATATAAATATCAACCATTTAACTATTAAAGCAAGATCATTGTTTCATAGTATAATTTTTTTATTGATATTAAATTATTCATTAATATAGTTGATTTGGTTTCAGACCAGTACTTGGATATATGATAATAACATCTTTGAAAAGAAATTAAAAAATAAAACAATATACAATAATAAACGTGTTTCAAATTCACGTCGAGTATTATTTGGAAGCCAGAATCTAATCAAATGTCAAAAAATCAAAGAAATTTAAATATTAATTGAAAAAAAATATGTTTGATATTTAAAATTATATTTTTTAAAAACAAAATTAAAAATCAATTTTTGGAAACCATGTATATTTTTTCATTTGTAATTATGTTGAAAGGAAACAAACAATTATTTTATACAAGAAACAAGATTGATAATAAATACCAATGTGTGAACTTGAAAAAAGGAAATGTGTTGTATTTCTTTTATTGGCTCTCAATAATTTGGGTTTTTCGTTTGTTTCATAAACATAAAATAGATAAATGGATATAAATAGCTATTTTGACAGTCACACTATATAAATAAGATTATTCTATCAATTATCAAACTATAAATTCCATAATTCTGGCTTTAGTAAATGACATCAAAATGGTCGTTCTCTATTTATATATAATTTTTATTGTTATTATATTTTTTGTTAAATATGTATATTGTTAAAATATATATTATATTAAAAACTTTTAATATATTATAAAAGATTTTTTCAATCATAAAACATTTACAAATTCGAAAAATTTTTAATTTAAAATGTTGGATTTATAAAATGTTTAATTTGTTTTGAATTTTTAAAAAGTCAATGTGTGTGACTAAAAAAAATTATATAGTTACTTTACCTTATATAAAACTATGCTTTATGCAAGTCTTTAATTATAAAGATTAGTAAATAGAAACCTTTTTAATAAATTAAAACCAAAATAGATTGCTATGTTTTTGGTTAGAAATTATTAAACTAGATTATAGTTTATTAAATTTTAAAATTAACCATAATAATTTTGAATTAAGGCAAAGTTTTACATAAGGCAGAGTAATTACACTGTCTGTTAAAATTATAAACCCCGATACAAACAAATTATATTGTATTAACTTTTATTGAACAACTTAATTATTTATCAAAATAAAAGAAAACTTCTTCAATAATTATAAACATGTTCATTCTTTTTAGTAGAATTTTGTTCAACTCTTATTTTTAGAGTTGAATGATAAATTATAAAATTATTAATAATTAATAATTATATTTTTTCATACATTTTTCTTATTTAACAATGATATTTTCATTGTAATATCAAATTGTGGGAAGTTCATGAATTTACAATTATTAACTTGTAAATACATGAAAGTACACGTAATTACTTATGTATTTAAAAGAACAAACCCAAGAAAAGGATGTCATCTATTGGTCAACACACAATCAAATAATATAAAAACCTTTTAAATGCTATATAATTAATACTCAAATTTTCATTTTATTCAAATTAAACATGAATTAAAAGTAGAAACAAACCTATTTAAATATGAAAAGAACTAAAAAAATAAAATATATAAATAATGGAATATGAACCAGGTGAGGTGATTATATACGCATGTGTGGCAACAAAAGACAATATTCTTGCTGATTACGCTGAAGTTTCAATTCCCAAACTTGACAGTGTGTTACACGAAATTACAAAGAAAGTTGGCGACCAACCGACGTCTGTAATTCGCCAAGATAATTTAATAATACATGTACATTCCCATATTCAAGAAACTTCACAGCTCATCACAATTGCTGTGACGGGTACGAATTTTCCAACCGATCGTTGTTTCGACTTTTTAGAGGACGTTTCCTCGTCTTTTGCAAAAATGTATGAACGTGGGCAATATGAACACTGTCTCGAACGCGCCTTCAATCCGACATTTTCCGTTCTTGTTAAACAGAAAATGAAACATGCCAATGACAACAATACAATTACTGTGACTGTACTAGACAATCCACAGGGCGAAATAATTACTCGCACTAACGATGATATATCTATGCTCATTGATAACGACACGCGTCTTGACGAACTTCATGATCAAGCCAAAATGCTCCTCCAAACGACGATTGATAAAGAAAACGACTCGAAACTTCTTCGGCAAAGAACATTTTTGACCACATCAAAAATGTTTTTTCTTCTGTTCATTCTCATCATTGTTTGTTATATGACAATTTATATCGCAACTAATTCATCGCAAGGTTGTCACCTTTTTGATCATATGGGGCGCATGTGGCATAACGTTCGAGAAGTGCAGAAACTAAACAATTTAATATATATAGAAGTATTCTTTTGTAAGACCAAAAAACGAAGTCAAAAAGTGCATAATTTACTTTTCATAATGTCCCTCATAACGGCCGTAATTGTTTCTGTCACCTCCATATCTTGGTCTGTCATATCTTTGATTTCTGTAACCCGAATTTCCACTTCTTGGATATGCAGAACCTTTGTATCGTCTTTCCTCTTGTGGTCTCTCTTCTCTTCTCTCTTCTTGCTGTCTCTCTTGTTTCTCCTCCTTTTGTGGCTTTTCTTCTTTCTCTTCTTTCTTCTCTGGTGCGTTTCTTCTGTCTTCTCTTCTATCGTTAAATCTTCGATTACCATTTCTGACGTAACCAGCTGTTCTTCTTGGTACACGTTTTGGTCTGTTCTTAAATACCTCAAGCTGATCATCAGAGAGTGGTGCAAAGTACTCTTCAGCTTTTACATTTTCGGGTTTTTGCATATAGAATGTAACCTCCACTGAAGTCATTAACTTGGGAATTTTGACTTCTTTCTTGTCAGCTTCACACACAAAGACGTTCTCTCCTCTGAAGAGGTCTGTCTTAACAACGGCATGATACGGTTTTGTGTGCTGAACAATCTCCATGATTCTCAGAGTTGATGTGGCTCCACGTCCGAGGCCTCTAACCACCACACATGGTTTATTTTTTGCCTCGAGAAGGTCACTAATTTCGTAAAGGATCTGAGCTATGTTTGGAAGCGCTCCAATATAGATTTTTCCATCGTCTTGTTTTTTGCGCTCTGGGCGTTGGAGGATGAATTGTCTATCTTCGGCCTTGTCTGCTGGTTTATCTGCCATTGTGATTTGGATTTACAAGTTCTTCAAGTTCTTTATACTCTTTGATTTAGTAATGAGTAATTTATAATATATTTAAATAATTATATATAACTATGAATAGTTATTCGGACAATTCAAAACATTTTTGTTGTGAAAAAAACGGGCACTAAGTTTGGACAGTAACAGGAAAACGTCGAAATTTTTTGTATGAATTTTTAGATAAAAGATAAAAAAGTTGAAGTATGTCTTTAAATATTTTTTAACTATTTTAATAGAAAAAAATATATGTTATCTGGAAATTTTAGATTAAAATTATTACATCTCTTTAAAAGTTTTCAAACATTGAAAAAATTGTTAACTTATTGAAAATATATAGTTTATTATTAATTATTTAATAGTTAAAAAATATATAAGTATTGTATTTGGTTATAAATTTAAAAACTCGAACGAAAACTATGATTATAACACTTAATGAGTTTATAATCGTTTAATAAATTTTATAATTAAAAGCAATTAATTCAAACAATAACTGTTATAACTAAAATACAATTAATATATATATATTATAAGAATTTAATAAAACTTTTTGTTATAGTAATATATTAAAAAACTATAATTGTTAATAACAAGTATTGCTATAAAATATAGAATTTGTTTTTTATTTTTATTTTTAGTCGGTGAATGTCGGAACAAATTTGTGAATTATTATTTTTGGAATATTTAAGGAAAATAATCGAAACACTCATTATTTTTCCTATTTTTTCAAATTCCTATTTTTTAGTTTTTATAATATAAAAATTAATAATGAATTACAAAAGGCAGAAAAATCACTTGACAAAGAAAAAAGGGATGACAAAATTCTATTTTTAAATTTCAGAGTATTTTTTATTAAGGTTTGAGAACCATCATTAGGGGATTTTGTTTACATTTCTCGAATAAATTATTTCAGTTGTTTTACCATAAACTCGGTTTTGCCATAAGTAGGAATTTGAGTAATAATTATAACGGTAATGCTTGACCTTAAAAAATTGAAAAATATTTTGAAAAAAAGCATAAAAAGAATTATAATCCGATAAAAACTGTTGTTTTATACTCTATTTTTAGACATGATATCGACCAATCTTGAGATATCATGTCTCTTCAGTTCATAACCGAGTAATTGGAATTTGAAATGTGTTCAAAACCCCCCAAAAAGTGGAGTGAAAAAAACACACCAAGATGGAGAGGATAATTATGAAAGTCACAGAAGAAATAAAACCCAAAGCAACAAAGAAGTCACAATTTACAGAAAAAATTGTTTAGAATGCGGGAAATGTTCTTTTGTGTTTTGTGAAGATTCATTATTCTTTAAATTGGCGTCGGGAAGAGAGCACGTTGAGGCGATTGTTTCTACTTTATAAAGTGAAAGTTTTGTGACATTAAGAGCACTTGCCGTGCTTTTAGAAACACACCAGAAGTCGTCCAATTGAAGAGTTTAGTGCATTTTCTAATATGTTTTCAAATGCAGCAATCATTAAACGACTCTTTGCTCCGCCCGATGAAATAGCGACAGTTTCCGTATTTGATTTGTAAAGGAAGAGTAAAAAAGCTTTTTTCTTCCATTGGAACTTCGGTGTTGGTCAGTCATATCAATGAATTGTTATAGCAAATCGAGTTTTCGGGAAACTCATGGTAACACATTCCATTCTAAAAATTCAAATTGCCAGTATTTGTGACAACTTCCATGTATTATACCATGGAGATCACCAAGTCTACGGCAGTAACATTGACGCGATTAAATAGAGTCTCGAGCCTTTCAAACTCACAATTGGCGAATTGGAGGAGATCCAGAACTGAATTGTTCGAAAAGACGTTTATTAATCGAGTTCAGTTTCATTTTTTTTGTTTTTGGAAAAATAAAACGCTGTTTTTAGTCTTTGTCAAGTTATTTCTAATTATAAAAATAGAATGAGTGGTAATTCCCGAAAAAATAAACCTAAAACAGCTAATCAAAAATCATTATTAAGGCATTTTGGCCAATCATCTTTTTGTCAATCAATTTATTCTTTGTCAAGTAATTATTCTGCCTCCTGTATTGTTAATAAGACAACTGACTTTATATTTTTTGATTATACTTTTAATCATTGAATTTGGAATTTGGGCTGAAATATATACAGATCGAGTATTTATGGGGTGCCAGAAACTTATTGGGTGCCAGAATTATTTTAAGACATGAAATGAGTTTGGCACCCATTTCATGTTAATTATTATCAAGAAAAAAAAACAAATAAAAAACAAATAAAATAAAACCCGTATTTTTACATCAATCCTCTAATTTCTTGGCACCCATTTAGTTTCTGGCACCCATTAAATACTCTATCTGTAAGATTACAGATGCAAGAAAAAGTGGTTGTCATAAAAAAAGTACATGTCGGAACGAAACTCCTATAGTTTTCTAAAACCCCTCAAGTCGTCAATTGATTGGTCGAAACCAGAAAAAAATATTTTATATTTAGAAACGACATTTTCGGATGACGATTGCAAGCCAACTCCACAAACGCGTTGTTGAAACTTGTTCTCCGATGTCACTTCTTGTGGTTTTACACGAGACGCAACTTGTTATGATCATGTATTGAACAGTTATAAACAAATGTAGTTTTTTATGGTTTTTATTTTTATATTTTGTTTTTGTTATAAATAAATGGACAACACTTTTTTGTCCATTTTTATATCCTACTTGTTCGGGATAATTAATTTCTTTGAAGTTTGAGGGGTTTAAGACAAATCGATGGGTTTTTACCATACCTGTAGTTGTCACGAGTATAAAAAAGTTTTTTTATATATTCATTTTTAATAATTATAAATTGTTAGTTTTTTAACAAGCAAATTTACGGGAAGCCTGTGGTAGTTTGGATTGATTTTTCAGAAAGTGGGTGTCAAAATGATGAAAAATTTCAAAAAGACTATTTTTATATAAAAACAGAAAAACCACAAAAAGATTTTACTCATCTTCAAAATCAAAACCGACTGAACCTTGTCGTCATGATATAAAATGAACTGATGTTGGGGATGTGCAATGTATTATGAATAAGTTGAGGATGCGTAAATCAAACAAGCAATAATCACGATTATCAAATTTGTGTATTTATAACGTTGAAACAAATAATTAATCATAAGGCATTCATTGATAAACAACGTGTAATATGACGCTAAATTACAAATATGACATTTCGTTATGAAAACTGTTATTGTGTTCAAATTAACCAAACGTTTTGTTCTGATTATTGTTTTCATTGTCTATATCTTTTACTGTTGTTGGGTTCACCAAAAAACACAAATATACGTCATTTAATAAGTCTTTTTCAAATACATAATTTTTATTATTGTTAAAAGTTTAAAATATTAACATTATTAACATTTGTTTAATGCCTTAAATAATAGCCTAAAACAAATTAGTTAATATTTATTATTTCATTTGATAATCGACTTACTCAGTACACTGGAAGAATTTTTGAAAAAACAATCGATTTTTTTGTTTTTAATAACATTATTTTTATGACAACCACTTTTTCTTTGACAACCAATAATTCTTCTAAAGTCTGTCTAAAAACGTTGTCCATTTGACAAAATTTTACACAAAAATATGTTGAAAAATTTAGGAATTAGGTAAAAACGATCAAATCCCGGTAAAAATTATGAAACGATGTTTTGGGATTTTTTCGAATTGTTTCCCGAAATATTCCAGTTTTGATGGTCCAAAAATGCCTGGACAACGTTGGAGAGCGGACAACGTTTTCAGACTGACTATATCTGTATTTATTTACTAAGAAAAAACACGTCTAAATGCTTTTCAAATTTGATGTTTAACCACAAATAATAAAACTGAATTTCACATAAATGAATTATTTTATATTGGACACTTTATTGTGGTACAATGTTTAATCAAATTATAAATATTATAAATAGAATGTGTTTAATATTGAATTGTAAAAAAATGGAAAAATAATATGTTAATGATAATTGAAGATTAGGTGTGTATAATGAACGTTTTCAAAAACAAAACATAATTGCAGACAATAAGGAACGGTTGTCGGCTCTGATGTAACTATTTTTTGAATTGAACAAATTTCAACACAATATTGTTTACAACAAATATTAGTTTAACACAAAGTTTAAGCAAAAAAAAAAATAAATATTATAACAGCCTTTTGCACTTTCAAACTCCAGAACACGTCATTTAAACAATAAAGAAATAATTGTGTATAACGGCAAACATTTGATTTATTAATAACTTCTAGTTATAAAAAGATGTATTTCAAAAGGTGTGATATCCGGTATGGTTTTCGGATTGCTTCTTATTAAATCATTAGCTACTAAGATTCAACATTACAAGAAATGCATTCAAAATACCGGGAAAGTACCCAAACCATTTAGACGTCGACTCCACGTCTTACTGATTTGTAGCAAAGCTTCTTTAATAAAAACCCTAATAATTCTATTTTTCTATGAGCAACAGACAAAAAAACTGGAAGTTGTTTTATGTAAACCCTAAAATAATGAATATAAAGACCAAACTTCAATTTTACTTTAGAGAACATGCCAAAGGAAACTGGGTTTTACGACGTTTTAGGCGTCTCAACCGACGCGACGCTTGAACAAATTAAGAAGGCGTATAAGAAGATGGCCATCAAGTACCATCCAGATAAAAATCCAGGCGATACAGTTGCCGAGGAAAATTTCAAAGAAGTTGCGGAGGCTTATGCGGTTCTCAGCGACTCTGACAAACGTGAGGTGTATGATAAGTACGGCAAGAAAGGGTTAGAGGAAGGTGGAATGGGTGGTTTCGACATGAACGACATCTTTGCCCAATTTTTCCCTGGTATGGCAGGTATGGGTGGTTTTGAACAACGTTCAAGAGGTCCGCGCAAAGGCCAGACTGTCCAGAGCCCGCTCAAATGCTCTCTAGAGGATTTGTACAATGGAAAGACCTTCAAGAGAAAAATCAAACACGACGTTTTGTGTTCAAAGTGTAAGGGAAAGGGCACCAAGAGTGGAAAGGATGTGAAGAAGTGCCAGAGATGTGATGGCAGAGGAAGTATTTATGTAATGATCAGACAAGGGATGTTTGCTATGCAAAGTGAGAAGGAATGCCCAGATTGTAGAGGACGTGGTGAACACGTTGACGAAAAGGATCGATGCCCGGTTTGCCGTGGAGCGAAAGTTGTCAACGAAGAGAAGATATTAGAAGTAATTGTACAACCTGGGACTAGAGAGCGAGAAGCAATATCGTTCCCAGGTGAGTCTGATCAAGCTCCAGGTATCATTCCTGGTGACATCGTTTTTGTTGTTTTGACGAATCCGCATAACGTTTATACACGAAAAGGGAACAACTTGTTGGTTGAAAAGTCTGTTGGACTTAATGAGGCGTTGACTGGTTTCTCCTTTACTTTGAAACAGTTGGACGGTAGAGAGTTATTCATTGAGTCCAAGGACATTATTGATCCCGAGTCATTCATGAGAGTCCCAGGGGAAGGTTTCCCAATCAAGCACCAATCTTCTCATGGCGATTTGTATATCTACTTTACAGTCAAGATGCCCAGACTGCAAGAAATTTCAATGCACATCGACAAGTTGAAAGAGTTGTTACCAAAGACCCAAGTGGTACCCGAGAAAAAAGAGAGTTCCACCGTATGTACACTCATTCCATCGAGCGCTCCAACTGAGGAAAGAGGTGGGTACAACAACAGGGACGATTCCGACGATGACGATGAAGGTCAATCCGGAGCTCAGTGCCAAACCCAATAAATCAGAAGTTGTTACTGTAACATTACATGGCTTTTTAGTATTAAGTTATAGCTTTTTGTGTTTTTTAGATCGAACAGAACAAATCAAAAGCTCTATATTATTATTGCATCCACACTTGCGATAATTGTTCGACTATTGCAGTGATCGGGAGACGCTGAACTGGGTCATTCCCCCAACACGCTTCAATCACTTCTCTCATCTTCTTATTTTCTATTGTTCGAATACTTTCTGGGCGTTTTCCACTTGAAATGAACGAGGCAACATTCCATGGATACTTGAACTCTTCTTTTGGGAACGCGTGTTCCCAAGTGATAGTCTCGAGCATCGTGATTGCAAATGAATATATATCCGCTGGTTCTTTGTAATAACTCCTATTCAGAATTTCAGGCGCCATATAGACAGGAGTACCAATTCCTTTTGTGAAGGATATGTTCCCCATCATCACGTTGATGTTTCTCGACGTCCCGAAATCAGTCAATTTTGCAAGGACATTTTCATCGATGGTTAATGAAAGGACCAAGATATTGTCTGGTTTGATATCTCGATGTATAATTCTGTTGTTGTGTAAATACTCAATCCCCCTAGCAGCATCTAATAACATCTTCACTTTAACATTCATACCAATTTCATCTCTCTTTTGATGTCTCATTACATCTTGCAAACTCCCAAACTTCGCAAACTCAGTGACCATACACCGCTTTTTAGGTATAAATACGGCACCAAAGAAGTTGATGATGTAATCGCTTCGGAACTTATCCAACATTTGAACTTCCTTCTCAAACTCGTCACCATTCGATGAAAAGTTGGGAATGTCTTTGATCATCTTGATCGCAACCTTCTCGCCTCTGTAAATTCCTTCATACACAATCCCAAATGAGCCTTCACCCAATTTACGTAATTTCTGAATTTCTTGCGGGTCGAGGCGCGTCGAAATTTCAGTCGAAAAGTGGAAATTCAAGTCGACTTGGTCTATTTTAGCTTTTCTGAGTTCAAGGAAAGAAACTAGAATGGAAGAGGATACATCGCATGTGCACATTGGTTTCACCGCTAAGATGACCTCAACAGCCATTCCCTTATTGATTGTGACTATCGACGGATTGATCTCAACAGTGAATTTCTCTTCTTCTTTTTGTGTGAATTGGACTTTGACGTTTCTTTTCCGGTCATTCCCAACTAGAAATGTTTTTTGTGTTAATTTGTTCACTGGAATTTGGTACCCTTGGCTGGTGGCAATTTCAATGTCTGTTTCTGAACAAACCAACGGCGATTTAATTCCTCCAAATCGCGTGAATGTCAAGCCATACATCTTTGCATCAGTGATCTTAATACTATTGACAAGAAGCTCCTTCGCTTTTATTGTAGCTCTGTGCTGGAAGTACATCAACAACAGAGCACATATAACGACAATAAACAATATGACAAAAAAGACTAATGGGACAACCAATGCAATTGTGATACCAGAAGAGTACTCACAACTGTTTCCAGAAGATGACACTCGATATGAAAATGAACACTTTGAACACGTCTGATATTCAGTAGAGTATGATACACACTTATTAATAGAAGTCCATACGATACACGTATTGTTGGAATTCAACACAAATGTGGTCTTACACGTCTCACACGACCAACTATTACCACACCTTTGGCAGTTGTCCATACAAGGAACACACTTGTGATACAAATTTAAATAAAATCCAGTTTCACAAAGACTGCACCCATCACTAACAGACGATGAACAGTGGAGAAGCAACGAAGTGGGTTTGCACTTTGTTGTCGTTGTGCTTTCCAAGTCATAGTAATATCCTTTGTCTTTATTGCACGTTAAACAAAAAGTGGAGTTGGTGATACACTTCTCACACGCATCACTGCACCTTACACAGTCACCATTATTCATGTAATATCCAGATTTACATACACTGCACTTATCGCCACTCGGTAAAAACAGTTCGCATGTCTCCATCAAATCACCAAGAGATAAACAAGTGTTGGTAGTAGTGTTGTAATAATATCCAAACTGACACGCCACACAATTGTTGGGTTGACTCACGCACATACGACACATTGGATTGCACGCTACACATCTACCGTTCTTGATATAGTATCCTGGTTTACATCGAACGCACCCCGTTGTACTTAAAATCAAACATTTTTCATCACTAATATTATTGGAACACACAATGTCACCCAACGGACCGCGAACCATATTGGTTGTTAAGTCGCATTTCAAACAGTCATATTTCAAAGACGAAATACAATGCGGTGTTGGAATTGCCACACAATTCATAGCAGCATCCAATTGATACCCAAATTGGCATCTAATGCACGTCGAAGTTTTTGAATCGATGACCTCGCAATTGTGATCGCTTGGTGAAACACACTTTTTATCGGACAACAAATATTCATTTTTACAAAGAAGACATAGTGTGTCGTCATTTTCGCTATACAAAACACAGTTTTTATCAGACTTTTCTATACAAACCCCACGTGAAAGATAATACCCATCCTCACATAAATTGCACCAGTTTGTCTGTGGGTCTGCGCAATGAAGAATATTTTCGCATGTGCCGTTTTGTAAAACATAGCCCGAGGCACACACTTCACATATTGTAGAATTTTGACAATATCCACATCTCTTGTCTTCAGTACAAAGCAAGCAAACTTGAGGAGATGAGTGGCCCAAATAATAAAACATGTCACACTTTTTGCAACTGCCATATAAAGTGATTTCACAATTTCCGTCATCACTTTTTGTTTGATCTTTAGTTGTAACAATAGGTTGAATACATGATATTACCCCATTTACTTCTTTCAACACAGAACAAGTCGAGTTTCTTTCGAAATCAAGACACACTCCAGATGTGACAATAGAACTTGAACATTCGACACAACCATATCCACGACGGTATGCGTTACATTTTTGATGTTGAGAGTATGTCACTTTCTCAAAGTTTCTTGCTGTAAATTTGATAGTGTCTGCATACGGACAGTTGTCTGTAGTTGTGCATCCCACACACCCTCTTTGACAATGAATTCGAACGCCCTTTTCATCAATCATTTCTGTTGTTTCAATACATTTCATATTCTTTTCCGAATCAAAGGCATATCCCGCTTTACAATAAGAACACTCTAATGCATCTGAATCAAAAGAATCAGCGGAAGTGCTTGTTTTGTATTGGCACGAAGAACATCCAAACATACGCCTTTCACACTTCATAATTTCAGTCTCTGAATATTTAAAACTATCAAACGGAATATCAACACATGTGACATTGAAATATTGATCTCGTGTGCAATCGGTTTGGCTGTTTTTCAAGTTCGATGAAATGGAGACACATTTCCCGTTAACGACATGATAATTTCCAACACAACGCATGCACACGTTTTTGTTTGAACATTCTTCGCAATTGGAAATCGAGTTTGAGCACCGCTTGCAAACACCTTCCTCTAAATAGAACACATTTGAATCACAAATTGCACATGATTTCTCTGTTTGATTACACACTCCACAGTTGTCGAATAAATCCCAACATTTTATGCATTTGTTGTTTACTTTGTCTAATGTATATGATGTGTCACAGCGAGAACAAACACCATCAATATTACAATTCGTGCACCCATCAACATTACAATCTGAAGAACATTCCATTACACCATTGTTATTAAACATATTCAGCTCCGTGTCACATTTTATGCATTCGTTGTTTTCGTTACATTCCATACACCCGTATATCACGGAACATTGGACACACTGCGCATTCTTGATGAAATAATTTGCCTTGCAATGTTGAACACTTGTAGTGTTACAATAATCAGAATTTTCATAATAAGTACCACACTCCTCACATTTTGTATTTAAGATCATATACCCCAAATCACAAGAAGTACACAACCCACTTGAAGAAACACATGTAGAACAATGATTCTGAATATAATGACATGCAACACAAACTCCGTTTTGTGTTGAATAACCCGTTTCACATTGAACACAATTTCCACTCGAGTCGCACCTTGTGCACTTATTTCCACATCTTTCACAAAAGTGGTCCACCAAATAATACCCTTCACGACATACTGAACACCCGACAACGTCGGACAAACAATTTAAACACCCTTCATTGCTTTCACATTCACTACATTGTGTCATGTTTTTGGTGAGTGTTTTGTCAAAAGTGCACATGTCACACGTCCCATTAAATTCACACGTCGTGCAATTTGTAATACCACAAGACTCACATGTATTATTGGAGTTCAAATAAAAACCCTCTTCACATGAAACACATTTGTTGTCAAAACACTCACTACAATTTGGTACCGCTTTGTTGCAAACAATACACACTCCGTCTTGT